CAAGTGAATTATTCAAACCTGCCGAACCCTCCTAATATAGCTTATATGGTTTTCGTGATGTATGGGAGGGGGCTTAGTCATCTCTTCGTCCCTCCTCTGGTGCATACCAGAGTCGGCGAGTTGAGGACGTTAGCATGCGGGGGAGGAAGTAAATTCTCACGGTACGTCATGCGTGCGGCATGTGTCTGAATTTTATCTGTGGCTTCGGGAGGCGTGGGACTCAAGTCTGTAGCCGGGCAGGGGAGACATATCATCCGAGCCAAGGTCTTTTGACAGCAGAGAGCTGGTTTTCCAGAGCGGATCCCCACTGCCTCGGCTGTGGCTAGCATCTGTTGGCGTAGACCCTTGGACAAGTTGGCTGGTGTCAGATACACAGTCTGAAAAGCTTCGTTGGGATTAACTAGGTGATTCGTGTCAACAAGGTGCGCGAGAATAGAACTCGAGATTGATCCAGTTTTATCTTTACGTAGCCAGGCCGGTATGTGTTTACGTAACCCCTTTTCCGGTCGCCTCCTTGTTCGGTCCGACTAAGTACTGCTTAAATTAGATCAATCTCGAGGTTTGTTCTCGCACACCTTGTGGATACGAATCACCGAGTTGATCCTAAAGAAATCGAAATCTCTTGAGATTATTATGCATAATAGTCACTCCCTAGAACCTCCTATAAAAAAGCCTTCTACAACTTCCGGAAATTCGACTAACGTTCCCTGAAATAGACTAGGTTATTCGCCTAGATTTTTTCAATTCTCGCTTGGCTTTCTTCATGCTCTTATGGATTTAGGTACTGAGCAGATCAGGCACGTGAAACGTGTTGTGTAAATTCGTTAAATGAATCTGCGGAGGTTAGAACGAGATTCTATTTATGTCATCTGCTTTAGCAACTGAAAAGGATGACATTTTTCTCTAACCGAACTACGTTGTAGACACTGACCGCCCCAAAAATGTGTTCTCAGAAGCCACTTGTCAAACCCTCCTAGTATGCATTAGACTTTAAGGGCTTTTATTGTCAATATTACTTTCATCTTCGCCAGTGGGGTCATTGGCTCTTGCTTATTCATAATCTTCATCATTTACAGATTCCATCTCCAGCTTTCTTTTTCAGGTAGCTTTTCCAGCATCCAGTTCAGATTGAATATAGGCTGCTGAATCTGCTCGAAGAGAAAATTCGATAGGATTCAAGCGAATTCTCGCAGACATGGACCAACCAGAGGCAACGAGCACTCTGCGGTCGCAGGCAAGGCAGGACGCTGCCGAGCCCATGCTCATAACATGTACCGTGGGAGACACTTGCGCGTGGCTTTCCCGTGAGACTGACTAATCGTGGAAATGGTTGCATTCCCAGCAGCACCCGTAAAGTACAGCATCAAAATGTGATGTGAATTCCGCCGATTTCAGAGGGGTTTAGTGGGCGGTAGATGGTTTATCAGATTGAAAAGTTCAAAAATGATGCTATTGCTCACTGCAAAAAAATATAGTTGAGCTTAAATATGCCCTCAAGTTGCTGGCATCGTTTTTTGTAAAAAATATCATAGTATCAATTGACAAACAGAATGATAAGTTGCTATCCGTTTAATGCCTTCAGTAGCTAGCCACTTTAAATACATAATCTTGCCATTCTGATATCAAGCACTAAGACTGACTGGGTCATGTGTCATGGCAATCATGCAGGAAATATGAAACCATCGCTTTATCTATTTTTGTATGTACATGTTTCCGGCAATGACTTGACCGCAAACTCCTGCGCAGCCTATAGGCTTTAAAAGACGTTAGAAAAAGTTGAAAAATATTGCGCTGAATCTTGGCCTGTTCATTTATCAATTAGGGCGTTTTGACAGATTTGCTTACTTTATTTGACCCAATATTGAAAAAAAATTCGCGGCGTTTGGCGGGAGTCTGACCCGCATAGCAGGGAAGGCCTTTACGCAGCCAACGCTATACCACTTGAGCTACAAACGCCATGCCTTGTGCCGTGAATTTAATCACAGTTCGATCGATTTTACCGGCCCAACTTTACTGCTCGTATGGACGCCCCCAGTATGGAACAGCAAGCTGACTGCCTAAGCAGGATTTCCCAAGCAGTCATTTAGTATCCACCGAAATGACTACTAGGTTGACTCAATTAATTGGAGGCTGATTAAGGTGTGCCTAAATTAATGGCGTAGGGCGTGGCGTTTGTAGCTCAAGTGGTAGAGCGTTGGCTGCGTAAAGGCCTTCCCTGCTATGCGGGTTCAGCTCCCGCCGAACGCCGCGAGTTTGTTCATTTATCATCAACAGGATTCCAATAGCTTGACAGGTGTTTCCTCTGCGTAGCCTCCTCTTTGCGAACTAATAATATTCGTGGATTGCAGACGTTCTTTTACCGGCGATGTGCAAACACTCCCAACCCTGCGGCTGGCTTCTGTCGAGCTACACTAAAAGGTAGATTATTTTAAAGATAAGTACTGCATTAAAACAACATAAAAATCGCTGAAGCAATGTTGAGTGCAGTGAAGTGTTTTGCAGACAAGACCTCAGACCAGTAAATTGCAATGTTAGTGTGCGGTTTTAAGGCTCCGTACTGGAAGGATCACTAGGAGGATTATTCTTTCCTTCACCGTCTCAATGAACAGAACCCGTTTCAAAAGTTGAGGAACAGAAGGACCTCGGTGTTCTTATAACGTCATAGCTTAAACCAAACCGAACGTGCGACACAGGTATTATTTGGACTAAGACGCTGATTCGTTCACATTGAAAAAGGGACTGTTCAGAAAGACCTACGGCGCACTTGCTTGGTCCCACTTGGATTATGCCGTCCAGGCCTGACGTTTGTGATTTAAGAAAGATTATCCGCGGCTGGAATGTGAGACCTAGGAAGGTGATCAGGAAGCTTGGGCATCTGCCTTACGAAGACAGATTGGTTGAACTGGATTTGGTCCTTCTCACTTACAGGCAACTATGTGGTGACCGCATTCAAAGCTATCGAATAGTCGGAGACCGTGAGTTCGCTGTAGCATTTGATGACTTCTTAGAATTGGTTCGGACGGACCACCTGCGTGGTCAGCCCCTGTAAACTGCACAGGAAGTCGGCCCATACAGGCGTTCGACGGAATGCCCTCCCACAGAAGGTCGTTGGAGGGTGGAACGTATTCTTGACGGAGTGCTTCTTTCGGAAGTTATTGTGACATTTAAATGAGAAACTGTTGCACGCATAGGAAACATTGTTTGATCAGCCGTAGTTCGCAACCGGCTCACACATCTCACTGATGTTAACTCTTCAGTTGTCATATGTACTTTTGTTAAAGTTACCACTTGCTGCGATTGTCGGATATGAATAGGGAGCTCAAGGGCGAAAGCCTTATTCCCTCAATAGAGTAACTTAAAGTCATCTACTATTTCTTAACAAATGTAACGTGTTCTACTAGATTAGGTAACGAAACAGTAAACAGTACACACCTAAGTGATAGTTCTGAATTCCTCTACAATTCAGCATCAGAAATTTGATAGAGAAAATATAGTAATGTATTCAGGCATGTGTAAAATTTTTCAAAAATGCGATCTTCTTTAAAACTTGATAGCTGCAGTTGCTAAAGCTCTTGAATAAATCGGACAAATGGTTAACCCGTAAATTTATCTATAGTATCTACTCTTATTCGGTACAAGACTATTGACAAATGTACTGTATAGGAGGATGAAACACAGGGCTAGCTATCTGTTACGTATGCTATTTAAACCACATTTATGCAGCACTGATTTCATCAGGTTCTTCGATAAAATTACGCTAGATGTTTGTAAAGTTTAAAATCCTTACTGTAAATTGCGCTCGAGTTCATTCGTCTTGCAGCTTCTCTTATGGACGTTCTCTTCAGTTGTCCTACTATGATCTCGGATGAATGAAGTTGACCGCTCAAACTTTTTATTACAGTTCTTCTGGTTACTCATCTGTCCTGCTCATCTTTGCCGTTTGATCAATGACGTCGTCTAGCCATCTGCACGTGCTCTAGGCTGAATGCTCAAGACACGCGTGCTGATCCACTATTGGCACAGCCTGGTATGCAAACGATAGACTCAGAATAAACCAGCCAATCAGCTCTCGACAAAATTACTGTACGCGCGTTCGGCACAGCGTAGTCCTGTCGTCTTACATAAGTACGCTTCGACGTGATCCCACCCATACGCGAACTCGGTGAGGAGCTAGACACCGCCTTTTATTTTGCAGCTAACGCCTCAGATGCAGCAACCCGCTGTTTATTATGAACGAAATCGGGATCACAGATCTCGGAAACGCTTCCGAAACCTGGAGGCGGAAAAGGGCAGGCTTAACTCTAGTCGAGCTCGCAGCGAAGTCCCCGCTCGAAACTACAAGAGCATGTCAAACCTCTCAGCCATCGCCGGGGACGATAGCGAGCAGGCTCCAGCCGGCTCAAGTATTTCAAAGTTTTGGAAGTGGCTGAAACATAACCCCGCTAAGGAGGCACCCGCCGCCGCAACAACTGACGCCACGAGTGCGGCACCCATGCCACGCAAATCTCTATCAAAACAGAAGGGCGGATTTTATGGAAATCTCGGCTTGGGTGAATACGTCGGAGCTATCGATGATGACTTCGCAGATGAGGATGAGGATGATACCCCAGTGAACCTATCCAAACTGCCAAAGTCCAGATCACTCATTAATATTTCGGTGTCCAATCTGTGGGCCGG